TGACACCACCGTGTTTCTCGAAACACGGAAACCGAGACGGCGATTACGTCACGCCGTCGCGCGAGCGGTTCCGTATGTGGTCAGACGGATTCTTAATGTCGATTCGAGAGACAACATTGGAAGTGACTCAGATACACTTAATTAACAAGGGTTTATTTACAAATCTATTGGATGAAGAATTTTCGCGGAGAGAGAGAGTGCACATACACTTCGCGGGATGATAAATACCTTTGTTAATAGATTCGGGTCTTGTTCGGATCTTGTTCGGATTATAACAGCTTCCGATGGGTTTAAGGTTTCTGATTCGTTATCCAGGCGATTCACTAACACACACACACACACACAGACAAGTTTATCCTATGGCGATTAATTCGGATTCCTTAATGGATGATAATTGAAGGGACGGCTTTCCTCTCCGAGGACTAAGGCAGCGACTAACTCTTTTCGGCCGTCTCTGATGATACTCACGGACGATTTCGGCCGTGCAGAGGTTAATAGTTCATGAGAAAGCGTCATGTTACTTTCGAGAAAATGTAACGGGAGACTTTCTCAGGTAGCCAAGAACAACAATTGTTGCGTAATTCGCGAAACGTTATTATTAAGGATTATATCAAATATAAGACTTTTTGCTATCTCACATCTTTATTAGTTATAAATATGGTAGACTCCTTTACTTGATCTCGCCCTTCACCTTATCATCGACCCCAAGCTACTCTCTTTTCACTCGCCTGACGTATCATCCTGACAAGTGAACGGGAGCCTTACGCCCCCGTATTCACAATGGTAAAGACACCTTAAACTAGGGGTTGCCTAACTTTTTTAATTGTCGACCCCCTACAACTTTTCGAAACCTCATATCGATCCCCACCACCAAAAAGTTTGTGTTACAAGCAAAAATAAGGTCTTACTATTTTAATATATATCTTTTATTTTTACATTTATTGTATATGTTAATAATAATTTTTGTAACTTACAATCAATGAGATGAATAAGCATGATGATCCTTAGCAAGATTAGCAATATTTGGTTCAAAATTTGTAAGTTTTAGTCTTTTCATCAACCCCCAATAATGTTATATCGACCCCTGGGGGTTGATATCGATTATTTGGCGACCCCTTTCTTAAATGAATTACATTTCCCAAGGGTTTACACATTAGGGGTTCTCATTTCCCAATCTTTTGCTTTTCCTGGGATTCTGGGATAAAAGTGAACTGTTTCCTGGGATTCCGGGAAATCCCGAGATAGAATTAATTATTTTTAAAATACAGTAGATGATCGGTTAATGAACATAATCTGTTCCAAGACTTTATTCGCTGTCCGAATTGTTCGTTAACTGATTATCGATTTTTTATTGAAATTTGATTAATTTGTTCTGGAGACCACAAAAAATAAAAAATATATACTTTCTTACTACATTTATTTATATGTAATAATAAAAATACATATATATGCAGTCTTGCATTTTTATTAGTCATGTTTCTTCTGTTTGTGGGGGTTAAAGAGTCTGTCTAATGTCGATTTGTGGAGTAGTTAAGAACATAACACTTGTACAGAAAGGTTTTCATGGATTATTATTACTCAACGAAGTGTTAAGTTGTTGGAAGTCGTTTTGTGTTATAATTGTTTTGTTTATTTATTACAACATTGTGATTTTTTAAAAGAAAGTTAAACTATGTGCCTTCAATGATTTTTAAAATTTTTATTGTATCTTTAGCGACAAAAAGGTTGCTAATCCCTGTTATAGAATATTATTTTTTGTTAGAAATATTTTAGAATTTATAAATATATTTATAGCTCATCAATTTGCTGGGCCCAATAGAGGAAGAGGAAGCAAACAAGTACCATCACAGCCAAATTATGGATACAATCCTAATCCTAATCCGGGTGGCTATGGACACAGTCCACAGATATTTGACGATACTAGCATGCCTCCTTATGCATCTCAGCCACAATCTTATTCACATATACCCTCTCAAGGTAGTATATTATATTATAATCTAAATGCATATTTTTATTTTGTATAAGTGTTTACGTAATTACAATGTCATATTTTTTCTATTTGTGTCTAAAATTGCTGTTTAATAGGAAATGTAATGGGAGATTGGTCAAGTCAAGGCTATGGTCAACCTTTCTCCGGGCAACAGGTACTTTCAGATCCAATGGCTGCCATGGCAGTTCAGTATGGACAGAGGTTCCCATTTTGAGTTACTAAAAATATTAAACAAATTGCAAAGGCTCACAGGTACAATGCATCACTTATCAATACAATAGTACACTCTACATAAAGAAAGCCTACCAGAAAGGCATCAATAAACACCAAGGCAACTAAACACCTCATTTTCAATTATAAACAAAAAAATGCATCAATTATTCACCAAGATTACTAAAAAGTTAAATCTCCAACTCACTTGTAAAACATTTTGCACAATATATGGGTTACTGACCTTGTACAATGGTGTGAAATCCGGAATTTTGGTGACGAAATTGTTGCTCTTTATTAACAAAAATTGTTAATTAATTAAACTTTCGTTTATGTAACGCCCTAGTAGAAAAAACGATCTTGCTCGGGATTGTGTAAACTTTCCGGTCTTAACTGGCAACATCTATTGTTCTCTGCAGAACTTGCATCTCATCTTGCAAAAAGGTTGATAGTTAGCATCTAAATGTTGTCATTTGTTGTAGATCCCAGGAACAACTATAACCCCTAACCTATGTACATCCGATCACGTGGTGGAAATTCCCCACTAAAACGGATAAAAGGCCGTTCTTACCCCCTCTCGGGAGTCTACGAACGAACGCAGGATTAACGACATTGTGCCGATTTTCCGAACCCGCGGAATTCCGATCTCTGATGAACCTCGAATTAAAGCATTGCTAAAGTCGCGATATATGTAATTTGTGCCGTTTTTGTGGATTATTCCTTGGATCAATATTTTAAAGGCATCCACGTTCAGAATCCTCAAGGAACTTTATATAAGAGGTATGAAAGCACTGTGAAACTCTCTCTAGGTCGGTATAGAAACGTGCTTTGTGTAGTTTTTGTCCATTTTGCTTCTTTAATAAATTGTTATTTTTATGAGGTGGAATTTCTAGGATGGGACTGGTGGGGAGGATGGGAAGTGGAGCGGGAGGAAGGAGAACGAAATAGAGGAGTACGAGAGGCATGTGGTATCGTTTCCGGCGGACTAGTAGTAGTAGTAGCTTCTATAGAATTAAGGGATTCATTAGATCCGATGAAGTCTGGTTCTGGTCGAAGATGGCGATTGGCATCTGGGTACTCTTGTTCCAGTTGAGGTGGCGCAGAATATCTGATTGGGAGAATTACTGTAACTGGAAGAAGGGATCTTGGTCGTTGAGAACGAGCGAACCGAAGGGCTGCTCGCAGAGTTTCGGCATTGACTTCCTGGGTTATGGCAGATTCTTGATTNTTATTATATTTCGTAGTTTAAACTAATTATAAGTAATTAAAAAATAATGAATTTATTAAAATATTATTTTTATTGTTATATTTCGGAAAGTAAGTCGCTCCGTGGAGTGTCGTGACGTCATTAAGACACATCTTCGTTTGTCAAGAACGAAGTTTGGAGTTTATAGTTATTTGTTACCTTTAAATGTTCAATTAATTATGTGCAAAATATAAATTAAATATCGTATTTATTTAATTAAAGTGATAATTTGTCTACAGATGGATCCAAATGCAATGAGAGGAGGTAATCAGTTTTTTTTTATTATTAAGTCTTTAAATTGAATCTCAGACTGTACATCTGTTATAACAAGTTTATCAGAGTTTATACTTACTTTTACAAACTTCAATTAAACACTTACAAAGGTATTTTATGTAACATATTTAGCTTATTACTCAAGTTTTAATTAAAGAAAAACTACAATGTCATATGGAAATAATCAAACTTTTTGCATATGTCTACTTGGTAAACTCATTTCATTTCACACACATTTATATTTTCTTTTTACCTATTAAAGTCATAATAATCATTTCCTCTATGTATAAATCAACGGTTTCAAATAATTAAAAAAAATAGTTGTTCAGTTAATCATCTCATCATTGATTAATCCAATATGGTTTGATTTTCGTGCCAAATATTGAATGTCAGGAAGGAAAACAACACTGAGTGTGGCATTATTACTGGCTTTTTTAAACTGCTAGCACTTTCAACAAATCTATGATCGTTGTCTTCGGGTGAATGAAGATTTAAAAACAAACAAAAATGTTCTAATGTGAGATGGAACAATTTATTTAAATTGAAACTTTAAATAAAAACTTTTTAGAATTAAAAGCCGTTGCAAACTATAAACGTCGATTACATTTGATGTTATGATGTGATGCGGTGCATCCACGAATGCACCAATGGTCTTATGGAAAACAAGGATGATCGTAACCCTACCGGGTGTAATGTCGACCCTAACTGGGAATCTTGACCTCCCCCTCCAATGTTGCATGTCCCAGGTTGTTTTTCGAGCCAAAAAGGCACAAGGCAGACTGGTCATTGCAACCACTTGTAAACAAGAAATCTCACCGTACCTACATTTTAGAAAAGGTGCTTGCTAAGTTCATATGCACACTGGTCCCAGACTTGCCCAATGTCACTCCCTCATCTTTTGTTGTTAAACCCACCATCACTTTGGGCATTGGTAGGGTACAAGCAATCTGTAGAATACAAAAGCTTCTACAAACTGGATCTGGTATCCTTGTACCCTTCGATCTATCTCTCCATAAATTTTACTTGGGAAAAAGAAAGTAATGCGGCTATAGCATTTTCAGATTTGCACATACATAGACCCCCAGAAACAGTACTATCCTTGGTTTACCATAAGTTTAATAATTTAATATTGTACCTTACATCATCCAGCAAATATTTCAGCCTTCACATTATGTTGATGCCACCATCGCTGCCCTCGTTAATAGAGTCTTCTTGCTGCTATCAATGCAAGAACTTGTAAACATTGAATTAAACAACATTAACTTAGCAGTACGTGCAGAGGGTTTTTCATGTGCTAAGTTCACACATGCTCAACATGGTCAGGAAAGCACTATTTCCAAACACCACACTAAGCAACAAGAGGGAGGTCACAGTAGTTCAACCATCATCACCATACCTCAGACCTCTTTCTATATGCATTTGTCACATACTTAGGCAACACAACCTTCTCCTGCCCCTTTCTCCACTGCCAAATTCTGCTGCAAACTTAGCTGCACAGACTCATCTGCAACGATCGGGACAAACTCTCCACCTTTGAGAAATTGGGAGTCTATGCAGTACTGTTGGAAAATCCCGTAACTGGGATCAATACGAGATACATTGGGGCCACAGAAAAGAATGCTTGCTATCCACCTAGCCAAACACCAGAATGATTTGGCAAAAGGAAAGTGCACCACAGAGCTAGCAAAAAAGTGCATGATCTGAATTACAACCTGTTATGGGCCCAAACTACAATACTCAGATCCTGCAGTGACCAAAAACTCCTCTTTATATGGGAGTCATAACAACCTTGGAAATGTGCAATGCACCCACTCTGGAACTACCCAACATAGGGGTTGCCCTATATAAACAGCTAAACAATGATTTACATCATCTCTCACACCCTTGACATGGACCAGCACCCATGCATGCACCGTATTATATTGCACTCATAACATCGTACGTATTTGAAATTTGTAGCCGATTCATAAGTTTATTCCAAAAATCATTTTATTTAAAATTATATGCATTCCTTTTCCATTTTGAATGCTCATGTTTGATTTAAAAAGTTTTAATTTGTCTGAAGACAACAAAAATATATTTGTTGAAAGCTCTAGAAAAAAGAAAACTAGTAATAATGCCATACACAGTGAACTCTACTTCCTGCTATATGTGTGGAAATACTATATATATATATATGTTTGTTCACTTTCCTTGGATGCAAGGATAAAAATTTAAAATAGTCTCAATTTTTGTGATAACTCAGGATTTATTTTCTTCATAATTTGAAGTTTAGACTATGTACAAAAAGTCAAAAAACTTTTGAGTCCTTCTTTATCCTTTATACACCACCATAGAAGTAACAGCCTAAAAAAATGCTTTGAAGAACTCTTCTTAAACACTGATAAAAATTGGTAAAAAAAAAAATTCCACAAGGAACAACGGATAAAGAAGGACTCAAAAGTTTTTTGACTTTTTGTACATAGTCTAAACTTCAAATTATGAATTAAAATAGTCTGCTTAATAACTACAAAAGAATTTTGTTTTAATGGATCACTTAGGCCACCAAAAATCATCTGTTGTTCCAAGAGTCTGTTATATCATGAACAATAGATTTCCCAAACACCCAGGAAAGTATTTGTTGTTTGAAAAATTTCTATTTTTTAACCCCTGTATATAAGAAATAACAGTATCTGATATTATTCAGTCTCTTGATATCTCTGTTCTTTATCCTATAGAAACACGTATGTTTGTAACATATGTGTATATTTTGCCATACATGTGTATGGCAAAGCTGATGAAAACTATACATACTGTAAGCATAAAAAGAGGCAAATTATATATTCTCATTAGCACTTTGCTTGACTTCACAATTTGTTAAAAAAAACTCATTCATCTTGATTTCTTTTGATGCTGCTTTTATGTCTATTGGATATAACATCTCTTGATATTAGCAATGTCATGCACACTACAGCCTGTTTGTTTATGCTGAAACTCATCAGGAAAGTCTTGATGACTTGGAAATACTTGATGGTTTTGCTAAATTTCGGCACTACACTTGGACCAGCGACTGAGTGTTCATTAGGTGACTCTTCCTCAGTTGTGTCAGCTGGCTGACTCTCTTTGTACAATTCTTCAATTGTACATATCCCAAATGTGACAAGTGCATCATCAAACTCTACAAATTTCCAGAAACAAATATCCCAAATATTAAGTAAACTTTGAAAAAACATGAAGTTAACAATAGATTTTGGATAGAAAAAATTTGTCATTCTGAGTAACAGATCTGTTAAAAGGAAGTAAAATTACATTGATTTGGTGAGTCCTGCAAAAAAAATCCATTATTCTGAGAAATCCACTGTTTTCCCAATTCATTAAAACGAGATTCTACTGTATATAGATTCTTATAAATTCTTTAAAATTGACATAATTTTGTTTCTATTAATCCCAATTTTTGAGAATGTTGACAAAGATGCTCGTACTCAGTAAAGATTTGTAACCCATTAGATTCTTTTTATGGAAATTTTTGAGTTAATAATCAATAATAATTATTTCATGTTTGAGGGTAAATTTTTACAACAATAGGCATCCCATTGGGATTTCTTGTGTTGTGTCTGTCTTAACAGAAGAGTTTGGAGGATAGTGTTTAAGTCCTTTCTCTATGCTTTTCCCCACTTGTATCCCTGTAGATTATGATCTCATGAAGTGCATGGAATTGTTCATATTGTGATTTCTGAGAGTTTGTGGCTTTTCTAAATAGTATCTACCAATCTATGAAAAATTTTCATTTATAACCACCATTATATTACAGGTATACAAGATAAACAAAATATGCAATTACTAACAAACGAGCAAAAATTCGATTTAACTAATTGTTAAACAAACATTTTCATCTGTTTTCAACAGTCATCATCAGTTTTCTTGTATACCAATTACTTAACAATACTAGTGTTTTGTATGTTGGAATGTCTTCTAGACAGTTTATAACATGGATTTTAGAACACAAGAAAGCTCATGAGCAAACTAGGAGATGTACAGAACTTGCAAAAGCAGTTATATAAATAATGCATACATACTATTGTGGGATGAAATAAAGCTTTTGAAAACAGTCCTTAACCTAAAACTTTTTTTACTTAAGAAATTAATTTCTTAATTTTAAAATTACATAAACCAATAAATACTTTGTTATTAATATTGTCAGATCACTAGTCACAACTATGAGGGCAGTTTATTTTTTAAGCTCTGATGGTTTATAAAACAAAGACAAGTGTAAATAAAATAAATTTATTACCAAAAGTTAGGTACAAACATGGTTACTTTTTTAACATAATCATCATGAAGATTGAAGAATTTGTCATATCTGTGGATGAGCGTTTTCATCCCCTTTTCATAGAATGTTGCTGCCAGTGAATTGAGATGGCCTTAACAACATTGTTTTGAAGATCGTCATTAGTCTCAAACCTCTGCCCTGTTAGTCACATTTTCAGTTCAGGAAAGAGGTGGAAGTCTTCACACATTAAAAAGTTTTAAGTTGGGTGGAAGTCTTCACCACCTTTAAACATCCAGCGTATAGCCCCAATTTAGCGCTGAGCAACTTCCACTCTTTCCTGAACAGGAAAAGTGGCTAAGAGGGCAGATCTTCAAAACAATTTTAAAACTTATCTCAAGTCATTGGCAGCAACATTCTATGTCAAAGGGACATCCACAGATATGATAAATGCCTCAATCTTCACAGTAATTATGTCAAACAGTAACCATGTTTGTACCTAACTTTTGGTAATAAATTCATTTTGTTATTTACACTTGTCTTTTTTCATGGACCATCGGAGCTTGAAAAAAAAATCGGCCTACTTACATTGTGTATTGTAATCACTAGCTACTGACTGCTACAGTGTTAATTTCATTTTTGTAAATGCACTTTTCCATTTTGACATACATTAATAACCAGTGGAAAGGCCCAATGCAGGCCTCGGGGCATGTGCATGGACTCTGGCTTTGCCGCTATGCTTTGTTGGTGCTTGATATGCTGACAGAGACTGCCCATTTTTTTAGTAGCAGCAGCAGTGTCATTCCGTGGTATAAATAATAAATTCCTATTACAAATAAAAATAATAATATACTGAATTATACTGTAACAATATAAAATATATATAAATAATATGTATCGTTAATTTAAATAATAGCTAGGGGCACCTCTAGTGTTTTTGGCATACAGTCACAGAGACTCCCATTTTTTCAGTTTTATATAAAACTGAAAAAACCAAATAAATAAATAAAAATACATAAATTTACAAAAAAATCTACTATATAGTAGATTTTTTTGTAAATTTATGTATTTTTATTTATTTATTTGGTTTTTTCAGTTTTATATAAAACTGAAAAAATGGGAGTCTCTGTGACTGTATGCCAAAAACACTAGAGGTGCCCCTAGCTATTATTTAAATTAACGATACATATTATTTATATATATTTTATATTGTTACAGTATAATTCAGTATATTATTATTTTTATTTGTAATAGGAATTTATTATTTATACCACGGAATGACACTGCTGCTGCTACTAAAAAAATGGGCAGTCTCTGTCAGCATATCAAGCACCAACAAAGCATAGCGGCAAAGCCAGAGTCCATGCACATGCCCCGAGGCCTGCATTGGGCCTTTCCACTGGTTATTAATGTATGTCAAAATGGAAAAGTGCATTTACAAAAATGAAATTAACACTGTAGCAGTCAGTAGCTAGTGATTACAATACACAATGTAAGTAGGCCGATTTTTTTTTCAAGCTCCGATGGTCCATGAAAAAAGACAAGTGTAAATAACAAAATGAATTTATTACCAAAAGTTAGGTACAAACATGGTTACTGTTTGACATAATTACTGTGAAGATTGAGGCATTTATCATATCTGTGGATGTCCCTTTGACATAGAATGTTGCTGCCAATGACTTGAGATAAGTTTTAAAATTGTTTTGAAGATCTGCCCTCTTAGCCACTTTTCCTGTTCAGGAAAGAGTGGAAGTTGCTCAGCGCTAAATTGGGGCTATACGCTGGATGTTTAAAGGTGGTGAAGACTTCCACCCAACTTAAAACTTTTTAATGTGTGAAGACTTCCACCTCTTTCCTGAACTGAAAATGTGACTAACAGGGCAGAGGTTTGAGACTAATGACGATCTTCAAAACAATGTTGTTAAGGCCATCTCAATTCACTGGCAGCAACATTCTATGAAAAGGGGATGAAAACGCTCATCCACAGATATGACAAATTCTTCAATCTTCATGATGATTATGTTAAAAAAGTAACCATGTTTGTACCTAACTTTTGGTAATAAATTCATTTTGTTATTTACACTTGTCTTTGTTTTATGGACCATCAGAGCTTAAAAAATAAACTGCCCTCATAGTTGTGACTAGTGATCTGACAATATTAATAACAAAGTATTTATTGGTTTATGTAATTTTAAAATTAAGAAATTAATTTCTTAAGTAAAAAAAGTTTTAGGTTAAGGACTGTTTTCAAAAGCTTTATTTCATCCCANACTTAATTAACAAGGGTTTATTTACAAATCTATTGGATGAAGAATTTTCGCGGAGAGAGAGAGTGCACATACACTTCGCGGGATGATAAATACCTTTGTTAATAGATTCGGGTCTTGTTCGGATCTTGTTCGGATTATAACAGCTTCCGATGGGTTTAAGGTTTCTGATTCGTTATCCAGGCGATTCACTAACACACACACACACACACAGACAAGTTTATCCTATGGCGATTAATTCGGATTCCTTAATGGATGATAATTGAAGGGACGGCTTTCCTCTCCGAGGACTAAGGCAGCGACTAACTCTTTTCGGCCGTCTCTGATGATACTCACGGACGATTTCGGCCGTGCAGAGGTTAATAGTTCATGAGAAAGCGTCATGTTACTTTCGAGAAAATGTAACGGGAGACTTTCTCAGGTAGCCAAGAACAACAATTGTTGCGTAATTCGCGAAACGTTATTATTAAGGATTATATCAAATATAAGACTTTTTGCTATCTCACATCTTTATTAGTTATAAATATGGTAGACTCCTTTACTTGATCTCGCCCTTCACCTTATCATCGACCCCAAGCTACTCTCTTTTCACTCGCCTGACGTATCATCCTGACAAGTGAACGGGAGCCTTACGCCCCCGTATTCACAATGGTAAAGACACCTTAAACTAGGGGTTGCCTAACTTTTTTAATTGTCGACCCCCTACAACTTTTCGAAACCTCATATCGATCCCCACCACCAAAAAGTTTGTGTTACAAGCAAAAATAAGGTCTTACTATTTTAATATATATCTTTTATTTTTACATTTATTGTATATGTTAATAATAATTTTTGTAACTTACAATCAATGAGATGAATAAGCATGATGATCCTTAGCAAGATTAGCAATATTTGGTTCAAAATTTGTAAGTTTTAGTCTTTTCATCAACCCCCAATAATGTTATATCGACCCCTGGGGGTTGATATCGATTATTTGGCGACCCCTTTCTTAAATGAATTACATTTCCCAAGGGTTTACACATTAGGGGTTCTCATTTCCCAATCTTTTGCTTTTCCTGGGATTCTGGGATAAAAGTGAACTGTTTCCTGGGATTCCGGGAAATCCCGAGATAGAATTAATTATTTTTAAAATACAGTAGATGATCGGTTAATGAACATAATCTGTTCCAAGACTTTATTCGCTGTCCGAATTGTTCGTTAACTGATTATCGATTTTTTATTGAAATTTGATTAATTTGTTCTGGAGACCACAAAAAATAAAAAATATATACTTTCTTACTACATTTATTTATATGTAATAATAAAAATACATATATATGCAGTCTTGCATTTTTATTAGTCATGTTTCTTCTGTTTGTGGGGGTTAAAGAGTCTGTCTAATGTCGATTTGTGGAGTAGTTAAGAACATAACACTTGTACAGAAAGGTTTTCATGGATTATTATTACTCAACGAAGTGTTAAGTTGTTGGAAGTCGTTTTGTGTTATAATTGTTTTGTTTATTTATTACAACATTGTGATTTTTTAAAAGAAAGTTAAACTATGTGCCTTCAATGATTTTTAAAATTTTTATTGTATCTTTAGCGACAAAAAGGTTGCTAATCCCTGTTATAGAATATTATTTTTTGTTAGAAATATTTTAGAATTTATAAATATATTTATAGCTCATCAATTTGCTGGGCCCAATAGAGGAAGAGGAAGCAAACAAGTACCATCACAGCCAAATTATGGATACAATCCTAATCCTAATCCGGGTGGCTATGGACACAGTCCACAGATATTTGACGATACTAGCATGCCTCCTTATGCATCTCAGCCACAATCTTATTCACATATACCCTCTCAAGGTAGTATATTATATTATAATCTAAATGCATATTTTTATTTTGTATAAGTGTTTACGTAATTACAATGTCATATTTTTTCTATTTGTGTCTAAAATTGCTGTTTAATAGGAAATGTAATGGGAGATTGGTCAAGTCAAGGCTATGGTCAACCTTTCTCCGGGCAACAGGTACTTTCAGATCCAATGGCTGCCATGGCAGTTCAGTATGGACAGACTTTGGCTGGACAAGGAAAAGAGTTTGTAAATGAAAAAGTAAATAATGTTTTTTTCTTCTTTATTATAAAATAATTTTTCTCTTTACATCTTGTTAATTCTTTTGTTAGAATTTGTGAAAATCTTGTTATTGATTTAATAGATTGCAAGTTAGAATTTTGCACTGTGTCGTACTTATCGATATTCATTGATTTTTCAATTAGAATTGTTTAAAGTGAATGCTCACAAAATATATTGCTATAAACAGTATATTTTGTGCTCTTACTGAGTTGAATAAACATTGTAATATGTGTACCCACTGATAGTTGTTATTGGGTTGTTTGAAAAAGTTTGTAGCAATTTTTCATATCCGACAGTTGATGTGACCAGAAGGCACCTCTTTAGTGCCTTGTCAGGACTGACACCACCCTGTCCCGATTGACACGGAAGCCAAGATGGTGTATTGGTTTGGTATTTGAGTATTTGAACACAGATCATGCAAGCGTGTGCGGACAATCAGATTCAGGGTGGAGACTGCGTGTTAGTGAGTAGGAAGTGACTCACACAGTGACTAGATTAACGAAACAACTGTTTATTTGTAAAGGAAAGAAAATACATTGAATACAATTTATCGATAGTGAGTGTAATAAATTGAGCTAAAATAGGTCTAGACAGGCCTAATTCGTGGTTCTCGAGAGAGAGAGTTTATAGTGGTTCGTGAGTCAATAAATACCTATCGTAGAGGATGTCCTGTAGGATGGAATAGCGGTTTCAGGATGACTAGGTTGGGACAGTCTCGTTTAAGATCGTCAGGAAAGTTCTGAATCTCCGATAGTTTGTTTTTAAAGGCGCAATGGTAGGTGATGTCCGAGGACGAGTTGGTGAGATATTTAATTGGGTAAGATCAGGCACTGACACAATTAAAAGTTGGAGAAATTTTGTGATGACTTTATTTCTGGAGGAATGGGCGATGACAGCCTAAACTTGCAGTTCCTTGCTATATTCAACTGATGAAATCGAGACAATAGGTTGGGAGGTTATGAGAAAGTGTCACTTTTGCAATGGATGTTTAATTTGTCTTGTGAAAGTGAAAGCAAGAAAGTTGCATTTTTGACATTTGTTTCTTTTCTTTTATCAAAAAGTTAAAAATACCATACAAACTGCAAAATAAATGTGTGATGTTTATGGTGATAGCAGAGTCAACTGTTTAAAAATGGTTCAATAAATTTAAGGCAGATAATTTCAATCTTGAAGATGCTCTGTGATCTATAAGACTGGCCATTATTGAAGAGTTTTAGATCAAAATATTATTGGATGACAACCGTCATTATGCAACTTGTGAGAAAGCAGACATATGAAGTTGTTGAACAGTATCATATTTCAATATCTGAAGAAGCTTGGGTATCTTTTGATTTAATGGAAAAGAACTTACATCTCCATTTGTGATTCTCTTCAAAAACAAAATGAAAATTGCCCATTTCTGAAATGGTTAGTGACAGGTTATGAAAAATAGATTGTTTATAACATCAGCTGAAAATGAACCACCATTATAAACTCCAAAGGCCTGTTTTCATCAAAGAAGGTCATGTTCATTATCTGGTGGGATTGGAAAAGAATTCTGTGCTATGAGCTGTTTCCAATGAATCAAACAATTGATTCTGATAAATATTGTTTCCAACTGAACCTACTGAAGATGGAAAATGAAGGAAAATATTTGGAATTGACCAACAGAAAGGCATTGTGTTTCATTAAGATAATGCCAGATTGCACATTTCTTTACAAACACAAAAACTTATTGGAACTATGCTGGGATGTTTTATCCCATTCCCATAATAGCCTAACCTTGTTGCATAAAACTTCTATTTGTCTAGAACAAATAGAAGATTGATGATTGAGCTCTGCAGAATTCCTTTTGTGATAAAAACTTTGATAGTTTGGAAGCTTACAAAAACCATGTGGAACAGTTTTTTATGGGAGAAAGTAGGAAGTTCTATGAAGAGGGTGTATGAAGCTTCCCTGTAGATGGAAACTCATCATTAAAAACAATAATTGAATAAAGATATGTTTTTAGTTTAAAACTGTTTCTTTATTTCTCTTGGAAATTGCTACAAACTTTTCAGACAATCCAATAGTATGTTTTAAATCAATGATTCTCACTCAAAATTGGATTGCAGATTAATAGTAGACCAGAGACCAATAAAAGTAAAATGTATTTTTTACATTTAATTTTTAATTATCAAAATAAATTGGTATAATAATAAGAGAATAAAAAATAAAATTTTTAAAATATTATTTTGTATAATGAATTATGTAAGAATAAAGAATAGTATTTTTTTATTTTATTTTTTCTCAATTATTGATGACATAGATTTTGGAACTATAGTGATCATATCAAGAAACTAGCAACTAACATTTTATTTCTGGATATTAATAAAAATATCTGTTTATTTTGTTTTTATTAAACAATTTCTCTGAGTTATAATTCTCATAGGCTGTTAAAAAAATTTTTATGGACTAATGACTGTTCATGGAGTAGCAGTTGAGAAACATCCTTTCAAATTGCAAATATTATTTGATAAATTTATTTATAAAAATATAAATTAAAAATTTTAAATTTTATTTATGTAATAATCAGAAATTGTTTAATATTTCAGCTTGAAAAATATGTTTCTGTATCAAAGTTGAAGTACTATTTTGCTGTTGACACTGCTTATGTAGCCAAGAAGTTAGGATTACTGTTTTTTCCTTTTACACATAGTGTAAGTTGTCTTATAGTATAATTTATAGAGATTAAGATATGTAATTTTATTTTTATCTCATAGAACTTTACTGTACAGGTTGAAACATTGATTTAAAGTAGATAGTAAGTTATTGATTCCTGATTAGAAAATATCAGAAATTAACTGTACCTCAGTTGTATTTATCAAAATTACAGTTGAACTGTATAGTCAAATGTATTGTTATATTAAATTGGTTCTAAATCATGAATCTCTAAAATTTTCAGGACATCAGTAAATCAAAAATAAAATTATTAATAAAAAGTTAACCAAACTAACCTAAGTTACCTAGAATTACCTCTTTGCTTGTGTGCTTTAAGGGATTTTTTATTTACTAATATTGAGAATGCACCACAGTACCATGCTCATATCCTAGAGCTTGCCTATTTGGTTTGTTATACATCATTCGTCAAATTTCAAGGAAAGGTATTCTTGCAAGAGAGAGGCGTACCAATGGGTAGTCCCATGTCTGCTATCCTTTGCAACTTGAAATCATTTTGTACGCCAGATACGTGGATGACATTTTCATACTATGGCAAACTGAGCCTAACCTTCAACATTTCTTAAATACGATCAACAATAACTCTTATGGCTTATTGTTACATATAGACCAGAAGAGCGGTACTAATACTAACTTCCTTGACATTTCCATCACCTGCAAGCAAGGGGAAATCTGGACTGACATATACTGGAGACCCTGTTTTCAGCCTATTATTATTCCACGACAATCCATCAATCCCAGGCACATCAAGTTAGCATTTTTCAGGGCTTGGATTAAATGCGCTTATACATATCGCACGAGCATTTATGATATCACTATAACACGTGCAGTGGCATTACAGGAGTGGATTCCCGGACATGGAAATTTATCCAACTTTTGTACAAAGATCTTATCTGCTAGCACTTTCAGTAGTATAAAACTACCATCATCAGGCAGTACATAGAATACAATAGTTTAAGCTTTCCAAACAATATTCTGATAGTTTTACAAATTTCAATATCAATATTGAATATTTCAAATGCTGTTTCTGACAGTTCAGCTGATTATGGTTTTTGAATGTTATTTAAAAGTTCTTACATCATAGTGCGTAGATAAGAATGATAATAAATAAAAGTATTATAGTGAGAAATGGCCGTAAAAGAGCTTAGTTCATGCATGTAGTGCACCCCAAGGCAAAATAAGCATATTAGTTATCACTTTACGCCGACTTTATAATTATTGTAAAATCACTTACGTGTTGTGGTGTTACTACAGTGAATTAGTAAAATATAAATATAAAAAGATCACAAGTACTTTCGGTAATGTATAGTTACCATCTTCATGTGAAATGAATACTACAGTTTTTTGTATCAGAGTTGTAGCACTTCATGAAAAAGCGGTGCGTCTAAATGGAACTCCAGTGTAAATCGAAATTTTCTTGCAGTTTGAAAATGTTTCGAAATGGAACGAAAAATTATAAAATTTCGCAAACTATGGTTGCTATGTGACCATGTAGCTCTGGCAATCTAATTTGTAACGTTTAAATAAAATAGTCATGTTTTAGAGATTTTCAGAGTTGTTGTATTACATGGTGAAAGCGTTGAAATATGTAGGTTTTCCCAAATAAAGACTTCTTTATGATTATTGCATCTTTTCAATAGCTTTGTTTGGTCCCAAACCGGCCGGTAGTCTTGATCAAGGACTTTTCTGTCTAATTCCGTTGATGGCCGGCTATTACAGATGTCATCCTGATGTTCTAAGATGCGTGATGTTAGTGTTCTAGCAGTCGCTCCTATATAATAAGTATCTTCTCCTGTACCATTATGTTGTAATGGAATAAGATAAACTCCCGATTTTTCTTTCATATCGATGGGATCTCTGTCATTAGTTAGCAATCTTCTTAATGTTGGCTGTGTGGATAGTGGTAGCATGTAGCCATTTTTTCTAAACAAGTGTACAATTTTGAGTGATGCAGGACCCAGAAATGGTAATGGGGGTGTGCTATTCTTAGGTCCTCTTTGTTAGTAAGGAACAATTGAGGATATAAGTGTTACAACTCTGATACAAAAAACTGTAGTATTCATTTCACCTGAAGATGATGACTATACGTCACCGAAAGTACTCGTGAAATTTTTATATTTATATTTTATTAATTCACCATAGTAACGCCACAACACGTAAGTGATTTTACAATAAAATAAGCATATGAGCAACAAAAGGATAGTTTAAGCTTTCTGAACGATGTTGTTCGGAAAGCTTAAACTATCATATTCTATGTACTGCCTGATGATGGTAGTTTTACACTACTGAAAATGCTAGCAGATAAGATGTTTCTCGAAAGTTGGATAAATTTCCGTGATCGGGACTTCACTCCTGTAACGCCACTGCACATAAGTGTTATAATGATAGTAAATGTTGGCGTGAAGTGCAAACATATTATATCGTTTATGTACGATTAAGGAATTGGATTACATTCTTAAGATAGCCGAGCAGCAAAGTTACCAGAGAGGCAAGGTAGAGAGGCTTATTACATCCTTTCAAACCACAAGATGACATTCTCCCAAGGTAGACAGGGAAGAAGGATGGTGCTAAATTACATCCCATTTTTAAATAAAATACATAGAAATATTGCCAAAGCTAATAATCTTCAAATTGTATACCGACATAATCCTACTGTTTATAAACTTTTAAGAAATGATAAAAAGAAGAAGATCGTAATTCAATGACAGGAGTTTATTCGGTGCCTTTACATGACCAATGTTTCGATTCCAAGCTTGTTTATGTAGGAGCAAATATGTGCCATTTAAAACAAAGGCCCAAGGAGCACAGGTACACTATCGACAAGAACCTTGACAGCACCGTGCTAGCATCATACGCAAGACGACAGGATGTTAATGTCCAATGTATTAAATGGCTATTATTAAAACTACGATGAACAGATACGCAGTGAAACATCTTGAGAAGTTGGAAATCTTCAAAGCACATATGAGAACTGGATATATAAACCATAGGGACATGGACGCATTATCTACTGCTTGGAGATCATTTTACAATAATTAAGGATAATAATGGATAATACTACGGTTCATCTTATATCTTGTATTTTATTCTCTTTGGTTGTCTTGGCCTTATTTATATCATTTATTTTATTTATTTGTATTTACTCTTCATGTGCATTTTTCGTTGATTTTTATATTTATTCCATAATTTATTTATGTTCTATTTTTGTAACTGAGGAAGATCATTTAAAAGAATTGAAAACGTTTTTATGGTATTAAAATCTTTTGCTGGATTGATAAAGGTGTGATTTTTTAACATATTCTCTATCCTGTATATAGTTTGTTTTATCTTTCAAACCTAGCATAAATTTGCTATTGGAAACAAATCATACAGAAACAATCCTCTTGATGGAAAAAGTTGATTTTTATTTTCTATAATTTACAACAGATATGCAATTTTTATATAAAGCATACTTAAACTTTGTTTTGTACATATTTTTAGAAAAGCATTAAAATAGCTAGAAATTGTTCAGTGATATTTGATTATTTGTTTGATCTCAAATAGATCGTTGCTACTGAGAATTACTAGAAGTAGATAGTTTTATTGTAAAGCCGAGAAGAGTAATTTAAGATGGTTTAGATGCATCTCAACGTAATTCAGGGCCATACCATGCTATGATACAGAGAGGTGGCCACATCAGGTGGTACCGTAAGGGAGTAGCCTAAGCAGCATTTAAGGGGCGACATTTTGAAGACTTGCATCATACTGAGAAAATTACTGCATGGCCCTGATGTTTGATAGAGAGTCTCAAAGATAACAAACATGTAAACCTGACATCAGTATAACATCAGAAGAGAATGACTAACATTGTATTAGCTGCATATATAGGAGAATATAAAGTACAAATCACCTTTGAACAGACTAGACTCTTACATCATACTTCAGAACTTACACATTTGAGACATTTGGAAGCATTGGAAATATATAGATCTGTGATTCAAAGTTATACCCAATGTCCCTATTAATAGATCTGTGATTCAAAGTTATACCCAATGTCCCAATAACCCAATTTCTCTTGTGTGAGAAAGACTTGGAAATATTTGTAGGAAAACTTCTTTATGAACCTTATATTTTGTGTCCTTACATACATTGTTCTCAACATCTGGAAACCATTAACCTGTCCTACATTGTTCCCGAAAATATTCGTGTTGACCTCATTGACCTGCATTGGTGATCCCGAATATTTTCATGTTTACGTCGGAACGTTTTTGATACTAGATGTCACTATGTGTCACAATTTTTATATTAAAAACGAACTTTTAAAATATAATTTGTTTTGTTTCTATATTATTCAATATATTTATTTTGTTTGTGAAACATAAAAAAAATTTTTACGATACAGTAAACACAATTATTATTTTAAAAAAATTTTTTTAGGCTTAACATCGATGAAAATTCAACATGGCATCTTAGGTAACAAATAAAAATTTCAACATCGAATAGGTTAAATGCAATGTTTCTTCTTACTCATTTTAACAGAGGAAAGGGAAAGGTTCTTGGTGATTCCTGCCTTCATCTATGATCACCATTCAGTATTGTGCCTCCAGCACTTCCCAACACCCACTTGCTTTTTTGCCTCTCTAGATTTACTCACTGTCCACAAGGGGGCAATAGCATCCATTTTAGGAACCACTGATATAGATTAAGGAAACAAGGCCATCAACTTTGAAGAAAGTGACACACTATCTGCTGCATGGTTAGCATACATTGATCATCCCCAAGACCTATGATCCTTTCATGCATGCCAATTAAACTCAACATTTAAATTTTTTGTGTACTCATTTATTTAAAAATTGTAAATACTAAAATTCACACTTTTCTTTCACTTTCCAGCATTTACTAATCAGTGAATGCTGGAAAGTGAAAGGAAGGGGTGAATTTTAGTATTTAGAAGATAGTTCCAGCTTTAGAATTAACAAATTTAAAAATTGTATTTATTTTT